TTTTTTTTTTTTTGAAGAAGTCCAGTAAAAAAATTTCAAAAAAATATCGAAAGGAAAAAAACCGTAAATGCAGTCAATCGATTGTCAAGGATACCATAGGTATACTGATCAACTGTAAAAGTATCGGCATTAATTTAGGTGGGGGACACTGCTGTTTGTCATGTATTTGCTGTAAAACAAGGTGACGACGACTTTAAAAGAAGGAAAGTATTGAAAAAGCAGCCAAAAACAATCAAACTATGATGTCGATTAATCCAACGTATCAACTGACTGACAACAGTCGAACATACACACACCGACACAGACCGGTTATATGCACAAACACACAGACACACAGACACGCAGACACGCAGACACAAACACACAAATATTCTCATCATTAAGAGTCTCAGCTGCTCAACTAAACAATAACTGTTTGACAACAGAACAGTCTAAAATTTGAATGAATAAAAATTGAAGAGAAAACTGTTTTAAAGATTTCAGCAGTAGCAATAGTAGTAAACAATGAACATTTAAAAAGTAAAGTAGAAGAAAAAAAGACGACGACGATGACGACGACAACGACGAGACGACGACGAAGATAACGACGAGACGACGACGACGATGACGATAATCATGAAAAGTGGGCAAATATTCAGAGCCCGAACACACACACACACAAAAAAAAACATTTTCCCACTTAACATTTATAATAATTTATATTTATATTTGAGAAAGAGAAAAAAATTTTTTTGTTTTTTTTTTTTTTTAAATCAATTTTTTTCTCTGTTATATCTTGCTTTATTTTTTTAATGATACTATTTTCCTATTTTTTATTTGCCAACAATAGCTACAGCAGCAACGATGACAACGACAGCAATGACAGCAGCAGCAGCAACAACAACAACAACAACAACAACAACAATGACAATAACAACAAAAATAATAACACTGAAGATGAACAACAGAAACTATTGTCTGATAAAAAGCAGAAAAAATTGCAGGAAGAATTTAAACCTTAAAAAATTTGAACGGTAATAAGCAAATTGAAAAACCACTTCTTAAAAATTTTTAACAACCTAATAATAAACTTGGAAAAATCTGAATGCTTGCTGAACTGTCATCAAAGCATTCATTTGAAAGAATGCAGTCTGCTAAAGCTCGGGGGAAACACTGCCGAAACCAAGATGAGCCCTCCTTTTTCCGGTTTTATCAACCGCCTTACCACTCTGTTCGCCTTATCTTTTTACTCGCCTCTTACCCGTACTAGCCCGAGCCCCACTGTTCCCCTGACGGATAAGGTATCGTATAAGTTGCAAAAATCGGTGGCTACTCTATCCACTGATGTACATTGCTGCCGCTAAGACGACATCTCAAATGATGGTGGTCACAAGAAAAAGGAAAGGGGGAATGACTGCATAAGGAGGAGAAAGAGGGGAAGGGGAGGAGGGAGTGCTCATATACTTTAATATGTTAAAACTAACTGCATTAGACACATAAGAGAGGCTTTTGAGATGATGTTTTGAAGCAAAAAGCCTTCAACGTTAGTTTTTAGTAAATAAGCTAATCAATGTTTTATATAATGTTGTTTTTGAAAAAAAAATTTTTTTTTTTTGAATTGTTGCGGAAAAGCTTAATTTGATATTCATTCAGGATATCTTCTGTTTCGAGTTTTAGTGCAGTAGAAGGAGAAAAAGATGATGATGACGATGACGGCGGCGGGGAAGAAGAGAGAGGAAAAAAAAAAACAGACGGACAGAAACTCTAAAGAATCAAACCATTTGGAAGTGTTGTTAGAACAATTAGCCCATTTTTTTTTTTCGTATCAAAATTTTTTTTATTTTTTATTTTTTTTTAATTCTCAATGTACCAATTATTATTATTAGTGCCCAATTAATAAAACTGCATCATCTCCGAAATAGCAGCAGCATCGGCAACAACAACGACAAAGCTTATCCGTTGTTGATACAACAATAACCAAGAAAAAAAAAAATATATTTTTTTCATTGGTCTTTCTTTCTCGCAATTGCTTAAAATACTTTTTTTTTCTATTCTTCGTTTCCTCCCCACTTCCTTCCTTCCTTCCTTCCTTCCTTCATTCCTTCCTTCCTTCCATCCATCCATCCATCCATCCATCCATCCATCCATCCATTCCATCCATCCATCCATCCATCCATTCCATCCATCCATTCCATCCATCCATTCCATCCATCCATCCATCCATCCTTCCTTCCTTCCTTCCTTCCTTCCTTCCTTCCTTCCTACTGTACTTATCAAGTTCAGTACAGCTTCAAATACTTTTTTTTCCAAATTTTTCTTCTTTCTTACTACTTTCAGTAAACTTTTGCTCGTTTCTGATAGACTGACAAATAAAACAGAAAAGCAAACAAATAAAGCAACAACAAGAAAACCCGTTTATTTTTTTGCTTTTTTTTCATCGATTATTACTGTTCTACTTAGTTTCCGCAGTAGAACAGTAAAAGAAAGCAATTTTTTTTTAATTTGTTTGTCTGTTACTTTTCAGCTATCTTCAAAAAAAAAATCTTTTTCTTTGTTCAAAGTGAAGTTAAAACTATTAATTAGCAATTTTTACTAACATAATTTTAGGGGTTTTTTTGCCATTTGATCTGATCAGTGGAGTTTACCAGTCTGATCCATAGTTTTTTTTCATTATTGCCCGCATAATCGAAATTGTCACTGTCATCATTTGCACCAATTTTCATCGCCAATATCATCTGCTGATTCCGAAAAATCTCAAAATTAATTTATTATTATTGTCTTATTATTATTATTATTATTATTATTATTATTATTATTATATTATTATTATTATTATTATTATTATTATTATTATTATATTATTATTATTATTATTATTATTATTATTATTATTATCATTATTATTATTATTATAGATCAGTGTTATTTCACATGTTGTTTAGTTGGTGGCTATTTGTTTGGTTTATTCAGATGAACGGCAACAGCAGTCAGCATCAGTCAGCAGCAGTCAGCAGCAGCAGTAGCAGCATCCACTCAGCAAAAAGCGCCATCACCATCACTAACAGCAACAACAATAAACAACAAAATTTTAGCAGAAAAAAATCACCTCTTCAATAGCTTCAGAAATGATGCTTTGTAGAAAAAAAAAATTTCCTTTTGAATTTATTGATTTTCGGGGCCAAATTGTTGTGAAGGTGAAAAAAAAAAAAAGCTTTACATGTTATTTTTCTTTTGTTT